TTTTTTTTTTTTTTTTTTTTGGGTGTGTGAATTAGGTCTCGGATGGAGACCTAGTGGAATTAGTTGGGAGAAACCGGAAATTTGATCTAATGGTGGTTGGTTTGCAAGAAGTTCCTCGAAACAACATTTCAAGATTATTACAATCTGTCCTACTCCAGACTCACGTGTAATTAATTAATTTTTCTTTTAAATTACTAATTTTTAATTAATCCTCTAATCATTTTTTTAAAATATTCTCCGATTATTAACTAATCCAAAAGGTTTTTCTGTAATGTTGTTGCTGGTGCAGGCTGTTAGGAAAGGTGATTATGCAATCCTTGCATTTATACGTATTCGGACCGACAAATTCAGAGTTGTTCATCAAAGGTAATTTTATGAAATATTCAGTCTAAATCTAAATATGCATTTCTTTTGTCCATATTTAGTAAATTTGATTTAATTTTTTAATTAAAAAAATCTTTAATTTGGTCTGTATTGTTTACCAATTAATTAACAGTAACATTTATTTATCAATTGACATTAGAAAAAAGAATAAAACAAAAAACAAAAAACAAAAACCCTTTTTGACTAGAACTAACAGTATCGACAAAATTCAATGTATATCAGCTAAAAGTTACAAAATTGATGAGAAATTAAAGCATTCTGGGGACGGAAGCTTAATCTTACGAGCTAGAAAGAGATTCAAGACGATAAAAGCCACTGTTGGGCTGTTGAGAACGACGGTTGAACAACAGGTTGAAGAAAAGACAACAACGAAAAGAGATAACTGCGTAGAGAAAGGGTAATGGATACCGATGTTGCACCGAATAGAGTCGGGATCGATGAAAAATGTAGCCATTACCTGTAGAATGACAGAGGAACTCAACAAGTTAGCCAATGCGAGTTCGTCTAGCTCTCGGCAGAAGACAGACTAGCGGTGGGCTCTGAAAAAGCGCAATGCACTACGCCGTGTCACTCTCGCTCGAGAAGGGCGGTGGGGCCGTGGCAGGTCCTGAACTCCTGATTGGGTGTCTTTACTTTTTAGGCTTTTTCGTTTTAATGCGTTTTTCTTTTCTTTGTTTTTTTTGGCAATTTTTTTATTTAAATTTTGGATTCCCCAAAGCTTTCCCATCTCTTTAGGATCTCACCCCCAAACATTTTATTTTAATTTAAAGTTTTTTTTGTTCTATTTAAAAGAAAAGTTACTATGAAATTATTAAGCAAATATGAAAAATGTTTAAATTAAAAAAAAAAAAAAAACTTCCATTGCCCAATGAACATGGGTCATTTTTCTCACAATAAAAAGGTTTTTTTTTTTTTTATTTCTTAACAACCCACCATTCATTTATATTATATGATTTAAATAAGTAAATTATTATTAAATTATGAAAGTTCATACATTTTTTTTTATCTAATATGTATGTTTACCAACTCCTCTAAATTCTTTTCACACATATTATAGTTTGAAATAAAATATCTCTAACAAAGTGGTTTAAATTGTTGATTGCAACATCCCTACTGTGAAAAAGAAAAAATTTGTAACAATTAACTTTTGCAGACCATAGATAACATACCCATAGTGGGAGAGAATTTTCCAGGGTTCCTTCCATATGTTACGTGTTTGACTAAAAATTATGGAAGTATTTAAATAAGTTGCAACCCCTGATCCCTAATATTGGATGCCTTGAGAGGGCAACACATCATATTAATTGATTTCAGAGTTCATTTTGGATCTGGTTGGTGGAAGACAATCCAAGAATTGTTAGCACGTCAAATTGTCATTGTTCTCAAGCAACAATTAAGTACGTATCCAATGGATGTGCAATGTGTCCCCATGAAATATAGGTTGTCAAACCCTCTCCAGCTTTAGATGGTAGCTTAACTATACACGGTTGGTGTCACAGTGAACAGCCTCCACAAGGCCAGTGTTTCAGCTTTTTATATCTTGGTAACTATGTATAAAATGGAGATTTTCTAGTTAAGAGTTATATGGTTAATTTGCTGCGTGTTGTCTATTTCAATTTTGATTGAAACTTCTTCATATAATTGTCAATAACCACGCCAAACCTAACTATAGAGAGAAAAGTCGTCATCAATTATAAGACATATCCATGGAGATATATCACAAGATCATTTTAGACTTTTGACTTTTTAATCTTCTGTATATGAACTCACCGCCCAAAGGCAAAAATTTCCATGCATATACATGTAAAGGCTCGAGTCATCAAAAGAGTTATTATCTTATAAGCTGTGTCTTTCATCTCCCTCCCTCTCTCCAAAGTTTCAGTTTTTTGTCCGCACACCCAATTCTGTATATATATCACTTTTTCTCTGTCGACCCTTTTGCTTTAATTTGTTGATTTTATGATAATCAATATCAGAAGGAGAAAGTCTTCATGGGAAATTTCAATACGATCCAAGCTGCTAAAAGGTAAACAAATTCAACTCCTGATTAATTCTTTCTTTCCAGATAGTATCACTTTTAAGTAAAAGACATTAATTAATGATCGGGTTTTGCAACTTTTGTAGAAGAAGATGGAAATCAGTAGATCTGATGACCAACAAGAATCCTACTAATGCAACTCATGAAGGAATAAAGATAGTAAACGCTGATAATCGTTGCGATTTCTCCACAAGTTCTGACTTATGCATTTGCATTGTAACCTGGAACATGAATGGAAAGGTGAGACATAATAATTGTATTGTGTTAATTTTCATTCTTAATTAACTATCAATGTTTTGGGCTTAAAAAAAAAAAATTCAAATCAGCTCAAAATTTTATTTTATTTTATCAGCACATAAAATAATTTATTACAGTAGTACAAGGTACCTCGAAACCTGTTGCAACTTACCTTACGTTCAGAACATCTAACCATACAAAGTCAGGAGTTTTGGAATTGATTATTGTTGTTTTTTTTTTTTTTTTTTTT